CCCAGTGATTTACAACTCGGCGGGTTAGGCCACAACTTTGTAAACCGGCTGAGTGCATTGTGTTTCGAATGGTTGTCCAGTGTTGATCTGCGCTATTTGGTGGGGTTGTAGTTAGCCTTGCGGCCAACTCGTTTTGAGAATCGGCTTGTACGGTCGGGTCAGAGAGCTTGACGACGTCGAGCTGTTTGCATCACATCTTTTTGCGGCCACCAAAACACTTCTTTTGGGTTGGAACCAGACGTCAATCGGATCACTGAGCTCGGATCCTGGATGTGTTTCCGACTTTCGTACGCCTTTCGGATGCGGCCAACTATTCAGGGTACTCAGGTGTTACCCTTGAGTCGCACACTTGCCGGTGAGCATCACGGTGGTCAACTTCAAGGATTAACTTTGGAGACCGGTTCGGTTGCGCCGAAGATCGGTGCCACTATGAGTTTCTTACGCCAGGTGTGGGTGGTTTGGAATCAGGGTTTAGCCAACTCCTCTAGACTGACTACCAGTAGTTAGGCAACCCGGTGGAAAGCGCCGAGCATTCGTCTTTGCCCTCCCACTTTAGTGTTAACACCGCCACGAGAAGGCAGTGGGTAGGCCTTCCTCAGCAGAAGCTATTCGAGGTGCTTGGTCCTTTGGGATTTTTTCTAGAGGAGTTCGGGACGAATGGCCATTTCGGAGTCCGAGACATCCACTCCCGACCACACTGAGGCATTTGGAGGCCGAGGCAGTTAGTGGGTGGGTGGAATAAATCCCAGTGTGGCCAAGCTAAAACCTATCATGGGGGTAAAAAAAAAACCCTAACCAGGAGTCTGGATCACATTGGTCCCGTTAGGCTCCCTGGATGGGGACCTCGGGATGATCGTACCCGATGGTTAGAGACACTGAGTATCGTAAAGAGCGGCGTTCGTGCATCTTCTCAATTTCTCTGTATCATTAGTCCATTGAAGTTTCCAATTTTCTCTTCGATCCTACTTTCAACGTTTCCTGTCTTTCTCCTTATGTTCATCCAAATGGGCAGCCAAAAGACAGCAACCAAAAGTGAATAAAGTGTATGTTTAACGGTTGTCTAAACTAAACTGAACTGAAGTGAACACGTTGGAACGTCAAGGTTTACAAAGCGTTCGCTCTATCTTGTCTACAATAATAATTAATCAAGGTGCTTCCTACGCAGTCCACTTCACTGGTCGGAACTTTTACGTTTTCACCATAGTATTTAGTTCGATCTATTTTCAGCGATACTTGTTTCCGCAAACTTTCTTGCTTTAATTTCGAAGAAAAATTCGTGATTTACAGAGCAAAGAAAGCGTGAACTGAAAAGCTAGGATGCACTGAACAGCCGTTGCGATTTGGTTGGGTCTCATTAGCAGCGCGAATCCATCGCCCCAACTGGGAATTGAACCCGGGACCTCATAGGCAGAATGCAAACATGTTGCCCACTCGGCCATCGAGCAGCTGATGAAACCGTTTTTCATTTTTCATTTACGCGATATAGTACAACACATCTTTGCGAGCTTGTTGCGGACATTGCGCCTCTTATCTCAGCCCTAGCCCCCGGCTTATGACTCAGTTGGAAACTTTCACAACCCGATTATTTCACTCCAACTGGCTCCTTTAGGAGAATAGAGAGCAGTCCCCAGGGTCGCTCAGCGTTTTGTTTCGAGGGTATACCCCTAGCTATAATTATGAATACCATGTGTATGAGTACCGGTGGCTCCGTAGGAGCTCATTCGCTCTTCGATATGCAACCCAGGTGTCTCTGCATCCATATCAATTGTGAGTCTTCCTTCATAGCCGCTGGGTGACGTTTTTGATCTCATCGACCCACTCGGGAGTGACTGTCTTCGTTAACCGTTCTCCTTGTCACTAAGGCTTTTATACCTCGCTTGCCCTCAATCTGATTTAGCCCGCCTTTCGAGCGGTTTACCGTGATGGGGCTACTGTTGCATGCCTCCGCTTCGTGGAGCCACAGCTAAGGGCTAGGAACATGATCGAGGCCTAAGATTGGAAGGAGGAGGCACGACAGTTTATTCATTCAGAAATCCTTCTCCTGTCGTTTACCCCATACGAAAGATGGTTTGTCTAGAGACGCGCGCTCTTCAGTTCATTCTATATGATCATTAGGTTCAGGCACGTTGTGGTCGTACGGTGAACTCGGTTTGAAGACCCATTTAGAAATGGCCAAGTCATCCCTGTTTATCCTCCACCTTTAATGGAAAATCGATGGTCAACGCCATTGGTATCATACTTAATGTGGCTGATCCCGGAGAGCTGAAGCCATACGAGCAACACATTTTGCTTGTTCCCGTACCGGGATTCAACCCTCTCGTGTCAAGACCTTGTCTTCTGATATCGCTTGTGCAATTCAGTTACATTACCATTCAAACAACATACGAAGGTTTGCGGTTCAACACCGCATCGAGTTTATATCCCAAACCGATGGTTGTCTTCTCGGAAGTAGTTTCCTGCTGCCACTATTAAAATAAAATTGTTTCCTCTACAAAATTGTAGAGAAACGAGACGACAAATTGCACTCGCTGAACTCGGGTTATACGGTATCATTTACATAAGTTTACCTTGCGTTGTTCGCGCCGAATTTATTTATTTATCAATGAGACACTTATCTGAGCTCCCTTTCACGGCACCAACAAGCGATACGATTAGCTAACTCGAGGGGTATCGCCGAATTAGGATTAAAATAAATAGTGGATCTATAAAAGGAGTGTTCATGTTCTCGGGTTTTGTCTGGAGTAAAATCGCAGTCGGCCTAATTATGACCTGCTCTGAATGGTTTGGCTAAAATTTTGTCCCGACCGTTTCGCCTATTACATCCGTAGTCGGACCCATCTGTCCCCCCGTTGATTAAATGGCCTACTAACGGTCTCGCAAAATCTTTTTTTGTCGTCCGGTTCAATACCACACTCATTCGAATGAGGCCTTATCATGTGGTTCACCTGTTTTATTCCGAGGGCTTCGGTCTCCGGTTGTCATCAATGTGTCTAGGAATTTCACCTTTTTTTACCACTCATCACTATCGTTCATTTTGTGCAAACAGACTGGATGTGCTATATAAGTTGTAATTTTGAAAACACAGCGATGTCGGTACGGGTGAAAATGAGCCGACGTTTCGGTTACCGCGGGTAACCTTTATCAAGTCGATTTTACAATCGATGGGTGTGCCTTTTCATCTCTTATACTGAGATCAACTTCCATCTCGGTGGTGAAAACAGCTCATCCGCAGCATCGGCTTAATGAGGTGTGCATACTTAACACAGAATTTCAGCTTTCGCACTCGGCGAGTTTCACCCGTCAGCAGTGATAAGTGAACACGATCATTTAACACTCGATATCTGACTCCTGCATTCTTGTTTCACTTCCCATCGCCCAGCGTTTTTAGTGTTAAATTCTTTGTCCAATGATCTTTCAACCACAGTTTTATCAATTTTTTGCTGTCCTTCACATCAGCTCTCGGCCCGACACAGGTGGGAAAAACAGACTGACAAGAATTTTTACCCCATTCTACACTGCTTATTGACGTATCTGATGAGAATGATCACTAATTGGCTCTAACATAATTACTGAATTCTGAATATTCTCTCAGTTGGTGCAGAAAGTGTAATATGCATCAGGCTTCTCTGCTTTACCGTTCGGGTATTGAAGTACCCAGATAGGACACAGGTTTGTCCTCTAATCTGATAGGAAATATTTTACTCTCATCTCCCTCATGACCTTTTTTGCTCGTCCTCTGATATGATACCGTGACATAGTATTCCGAAGTTGACTTGGGATGTTTTTTGGTTTATGGGAATATATCAGCTATTGTCTTTAACAAAAGTCATGCGTAGGTTCGGCTACCTGTTAATAGTTTTTCTTTATCATCCCCTCATTCTGTTTCGTACAGGTTCAGCTCTTTTGGCTGGTTCTGCTCCAGCTCCAAGTGCTCCACTCACTAACTGCTCCCGATTGCACTCTCCCAGTGGGTCGAACAATCCCCGCCTAACCGGTGCCGTGGACTCTCCACTTCGCATGATGCGCACTCGTTGCACTTCACTCACAGTCGCCGGGTCAAGTCCGCTCGATTCAACGGGAATCCGAGTTCCGAATATGGATCTGAATCACGCACAACAGCACCAGCTCTTGCAAGCGCAAACGAACCAACAAAACCCTCAACCGGCACAACAACGTCTTATTCCCGGACAACCGTTACGCGGTTTGCCCACAACCACTGCCCCATTGCATCAGCCTGGGCAACTTCGCGGCTCATCTTTGTTGCACATGCACAACCGCCCCTGGCCGCA